TCACTCCACTTGACACGGCGATGAATCCGGTTTGTCGGTTTCTTCACAGATAGATAGCGTACTGACCCTCGAATAGGATGAATTATCCCAGTGGTTTATTCATTTCAAAGATCAGCTCCCAGATTTAGATCCTCAGCAGCAAGAAATAATACACGATTTAACCGGGGATGTCCCACTTCTCCTTCGTCCACTCTTCAAGTTTCAAAAGAAGGGATTTAATCAGAAAGAGTTCCAAGAATCTGAAGAGTTTTATCGAGTTAGAGTCGAAGTTGCACAGTTTTTCAAAGCCAGATTCCGAGCGCTGCAAGGCAGGGCAGAGAAAAACAAGTATGTCCTGTTTTCAGATGTCTTTGGTCACCTTCCCCATCATTTTGCTGATGACTCGTCTAGATACATGAGATTAATGGAGTGTTTTGTTCAAAATTTCCCTATTCTTCATCCAGAAGAGGGGTCTTATGATCAAAGATATTTCTATATGGAGGAAAGCATGGCTAGTCACACCTGTAGAGTGGCAGCAGAGGCCATGACATTGCTCCTCCAGGAGTATCGCTCCACCACGCTTAAAGCTCTCACTTCTTAACAAACCGCGATGCAATGAACAAGAGAAACACAATATGTCTAATTCCCATACGTTGCATCTTTCTTCCCTATTTCACGTGTGACTATTTGCTCATATTTCGTGCAAGCCAAGAGCGACATCGAAGTCGAAGCGTGAGCCGAATCAGATTAGATTACACGTTCAGCGTACTAGTTAATGTACTTTAATATGCTGGATAAATGGCGTGCTGACGCCACTCTCGCCCATCATCTCAGACAGCCTACCCCCGCCCCTCCTTTTGCGCTCCCACTTACCCATCCCCTCAGGATCATATCTCCCATCTACTCGCTTCCGGGTTCCAGGTGCAGACTAACGAAGCTTTGACAACCCATCTCCCCAGCCCGTGCCTGCCCACCCGGGCAAGCTCTACCCAGACCCAGGACCCCCCACATTACGGGAGATGGACTCTGATTGCATTTCTTTCTTCCTTTGTTGCGAACGCGTCGACGATAGCTCGGCTATCTAGCATTGATGGCTTGTTTCTTGAGAGTTCGTATTGTTTGAGGAGTCACAAAAGGATTTAAATGACCTGAGGTACTTTTACGAACACGATGGCGACGGGAATTACCGCTGTTATTGCACATATAGAATAGCGGTAGGCTGAGAATCACTGGAGTTATTGTTCCGAGATAGTCTAGAGGCTTGAAGCACAAGCTGTATTTCGACTGTGTGCCTCCATTTCAAAGATCGTATTGGCAGTGGACTTTATCATTGAATCTAGCTACCGTGGTTGAGGAGAAGGAAGTCGGCTTTGTTTGGTCATCCAAACTGGCACACAAATTTGCCTTACTACACCAGTGAATTCTCTTCAACAGCCGCAATAGATCTCCAGAATCATAGTCATCTAATCATGAGAATGGAAGTCGATAAAACGCAAACTTCTGGACCAAGAGAACCCACCTCAGTCACGATTTTTACCTTCGACTTGGCGGCCGTCTGTCTAGTTGCTATCCAGCTCTGTCGAAAATGAAACTGTTGGTACAAGAAAGGCGAGTCCTGTAGAAGATTGGCGAGATGTTTGGCCTGGACTGTTTCCCGAGGGCGCCGTCACTCAATCCATTGTCTGGTGCAATCTAATGGCGAGGGAAAGATGCCTCTAAATTAGGCGGTTACATACATTCGTAGCGATAGAAGCCAGCTCTTAGGCCCATCAAGCTAAGGACGGAGGGTATTCAGTTGCGGATGTTGGTGCCTACGGTATTCAAACGTTATTCTCCCCTTGGCCCGAGAGATTCGGTTACATACGTATGTACCCTACCTCATTGCTGGCTTGTTGAATCTCCGTCTCACATGCTTTTACACCTTGTTACGACCCCCCAATGTCCGCGGATGCACCTCCAGCGTTGGATGTGAATCTCTTCAGCCAGATTACAGTCTCTCGATACTTTGCTGGTGCGCCGCGGTTCGATGCTTAACTGGAAACGGCCCGACTGACGGCTTCGATGGGCATTACAGGGATCGCACTGACTCTGTGCATCTACGACTGGCTCATACTGGTCGAAAGAGGTGAGATTTGACAAACGTGCGGGAACGTATCAGTGCTAAACTTCACTTTAATCGCTTGTAGAAAGTCAGACGGTGTGGAAGGCGCGATGGACGCGGACGAAAGTTCTCTACTACATTGTGAGGGACAATTCTTCGCGGCGTGGTCCGAAAACTGGCATCCTGACGAATCTCAGAATCGTGTCATAACCCTAATTGGGCTCGGTATCGTCGCCACTCGTAAGGGTCCCCAAGTCTACACGACCAGCTACTCATTCACAACCTTTTTCGCTAGAAAATTCCGATCTCTGGACAAGAACTCTATCTCGTAAAGTGAGTATGCTGTCTCTTCGACTCGTGTTGCGACCGCTAATAACTCCTCAATCAGTTGTAAGGGGAAATGATCTAGTTATGGTTTTTTCACATAATGATATGACACGACTCAGCTGCATATTCTATATTTGGTGCACTTCAATGCTACAGTGGGCGTCGTTCTGTATAGCCAACAGTGAGTCGTCTCAATTTAGCTTCAATTCACCATGTTGCCTGACGCCAACCTCGACTCCGCTAGCCATCCTCACTCTTCGGATTGCCGCCCTATATTATCGTCATGTATTTCTAGTACGAACTCTGTACTGTCTTCTCGTGGTCAACTGGCTCAGCGCTCTGGCCACTACTATCCACACGATATACCTCATGGCCGGTAGGTGCGTTTCACTCGGTGAAAGCAGACAAACTAACGTAAAATCCACTTTAGGGCAACTTGATTATTCACCCGAGCTTCATCTATGCGCATCCAGTGTTCATAGTCCCACTGCACCAGTCATCTTCATTGGACCGGCAACTTACGAGTTCATCCTTTTCGTTCTCACCCTCTATCGCGTCTTTCAAGATCGAAAACATAGAGTCACTGCTGGTCCATTCCTTACTACCCTCTATCGGGACGGGTTTTATTACTTTGCCGCTGTATTTGCCGTCCATCTCTGGAATTCACTTGCAGTGAGTGTATACTCGGCTCTTCTCTTTGTCCCCAACTCATTTCTTATCATTCCTGATAGTATCTGACACTACCGATGACGGGCATCTTTATGGGTGTCTACTTTGCTTGGTCGACGATGACAGTCATGAGCGGCAGGGTCTTCCTGAATCTCGTACTGGCCGCAAACGGTAGAGGGGATACAACGGGTACCACCACTGCTGGGATATCGTCGTTACACATCAGGCGGGGGCGTCACCTGCAAGGAGAGGGGTCTGAACAAGTGGAGACATTTGGCGCAAAGAAGATACGCCACAGCGTCCCTCTTACGACATTCAGTACGGTCAGTACTCGTGCCTCTTCTGTCCTCGTGTCCCCCGTCCTTGTCACTGATCGCTAAATGTCGGTCCAGACCATCGCCTCAGTTGATGACTATGTTCAACACTCCAATCCTCCGCCCCTAAAAGGTTCCTCAGGGTCACGCTCGACAACCGACGCTGACAGATAACTCGGACTCTGATGGACCAGACCTGTATTAACATTCGGGTATTTATAGACCGGTACCCTGGAGGGTCTCATTATGTAATATATTGTTCACCGTACGCTTATCTAATAAAGGAATCTTCTCACCCAAACGTTATCATCTTACCCTGCAAAAATCCTCTTGCGAGTTTCCCGATGGTCACTAAGCTGAAGCTGAAAGTGTAACATGTTGGTTGGTCCCTGCCTTCACCTTGGCTGGGAAGAATGCACTTGATGCCAAGTAAATAGCACTCTCACTTTGACAGTATGTTGAGGTGATACGCCGCTGCGGCGACAGGTACGCGTGGAAATCCCAAGCGGAGCTGACACAAGTTGGCCGTCATTGTCGGAAACGCGATTCCCCACTTTTTGCGCCATTTTATTGTATTTCACTTGATTCGGTTGTGATCAGAGAGTGCGGTTGTGGCAGAACTTTATTGTCTCGGGTTATTTCACGATGAAGGCTAGAGGCGGCAAAGTAATAAAACCCGTCCCGATAGAGGGTAGTAAGGAATGTCCGCGGATGCACCTCCAGCGTTGGATGTGAATCTCTTCAGCCAGATTACAGTCTCTCGATACTTTGCTGGTG